AGCCCAGCCTCCAACCCACAGAGTTGAGTTCAACAACTGGTGAGTCCCAGGGGTATCTTGGCTCAGAAGGAGCACAGCCCCCCACCCCAGGGGAGTGCCATCTCCTCAACTTGTTATTGTCTTTATTCCCAGGAACTTCCCTGCACCCCAGCTCCCTGCCCACAGAAGCAGCCTCAACAGCAGGTGAGTCCCAGGATCACCCCTCACCCCACAAGGTCTGGGCCCACAGGGTCGAATGAGGGGCTCTGAGTTGGGAGGTTGTAGGCCCTGGAAAGACAGCACTGAGTTGTGCCATCGGTTCAGGCTCCTCTGGGGCAGGGACTGGGGCAGGGACATGGACAACCCCTTCCCACTTGGACTCCAGGTGTGAAGGGAGGAGGCCTGAGGACAAAGCTCCTTCCAGGTCTGGCTCCTGCTGTGACTTCCTGGGAGAGGAGACTCCCAGAGAAGCCTCCAGGAGCAGACTGGGCAGTGGCCTTTCCTACCTGCTACTATCACATAGGCCCTGTGCAGGGCAGGGAGCAGGGCGGTGGTGCGGGGCATGCAGCTCCACATGTCTTTTTAGCTGAGGGTCAGCTCTGGGGGAGGAAACAGGGCTGGAAGTCAGCCTCAGGGTCACTTCCCAGCTCTGCCACCTCCTGGCTGGGTGCTCTGGGGCAGGAAAGTCACCTCTCTGGGCCTCAGTTTCCTCCTCTGTGAAATAGGGGGGAGTCCCATGTTGCACAACGGGTGAGGGCTGGAGGTGATGATGCAAAGCCCCTACACGCACCCGCACACAGTAGGTGCTCAGTTAATGACATCATTCTTTACTCCTGAAGTCACTCCTGCCCAAGACCTGGGAACATTCTTGGCGGTTCTGATTGGGATATCAGTGGCCTTCATCCTGCTGCTCTTCCTTGCTCTCTTCCTCCTATGCTGGTGTCACGGAAACACAGGTCATTGGGTGAGTAGGGAAGGGGGACCTGGGGTGGCAGGGTGGGCTCAGGCACAAGCCACAGAGAGACCAAACAGATGGGAGGGTCAGGGTAGAAACGCTGCTCCAGTGTTGCCACACTAGGACCCTCTGGAAAGTGTGGACGCAGCTCACATGCCTGTGTTTAACCACCTGTGGAGCTGATCAGGATCCTGCAGTGTGTGCAGCATCTGTGCAGGGGCGTCCCCAGGTTCCCTGTCCCCTTGAACTCCTGTGCAGGGTGAGGACTTCTAACCCTGCAGGGCTGAGACTCTCTGTCCCTTTCCAGACCAAAGAGAGGTGGGGACTGTGGACCTGGAGCCCAAGGACAGAGGGCTGCAGCAAAGGTAATTCTAGCGAAGACCCCAGACTACACCTGCCCACAGCCCTCTCACTGCTTCTCACACTCTGTGTCCTCCCCCAGGTCCAGTCCAGCTGCTGACATTAAAGACGAAAACTTCTGTGAGAGGAAGGGGATGCTTAGGGGGAAGATGGGAACCCTGGGGGGAGAGAGGAGCCATGAAGGTTCAGTAGCAATTGGGGAGGAGAAGGTGGGGAGGGTTTGGGGCTCAGGGGGAGGTGGTCTGAATGCCCCACTGGGGACCATGGGGGACATCATAGGTGCTCCCTGAATCCCATGGCCCCATCTCAGAGTAGTGCAGGGGACAGTGGGACTGAGAAGTCCCAGAGGACAAACCCCTCATTCTGCCCCAGCAGGTGTTGCCATGAAGGACACTCAGCCTGAGGATGGGATGGTGTTGGAGAGTCAGGTGAGATTCATGTCCCTGTCCAGGTTTCCAAAGGCCTCCTGTTATCACATTTAATCCAGAAGACACTCCCCTGTCCTCCCTTCCATCAGCTTAGCACTGTCCCATGGTGAACCCTTCCCCCCTGCCTGCTGTGACCTCACTGCCCCCTGGTTTCCTGTAACTTTCGAGCCCCACTTTTCCAGATCTCCATCCTCTGTCTGATGTCTGGGTGTCAGAGAGCACCTCCAGTCCTCAGAGACTACATGAATCACTGAAGCACCTGAGTCCCCACCTCCCCTTCTTCCCTTCATCCTGCAATGTTCATGGGGAGCTCCCCCTTGATTGGGCTGGGGTGGGGCCTCAGCCACAGCAGGAAGCACAGCTGCCCCACCCTCTCTGCACTCATGTGGCAGGGGACAATGGGCAGGTACATGCCTGGCATCCTGCGTGCAAAGGGCCATTAGGGAAATAAAGGGAGAAAAAGGCAGAGTGTATGGGGAGGGGGACCTGTCTGGGCTAGGAGGGGAGGGCTGTCTGATCAGGCATCCCCCAGGAAGGAGCCCAGAAGGAGAAGACCACAGGGACACCCAGTGCACGAGCACCTGCAGCAGAGAAAACTTGGCGGGAAGATGGGCCTGAGGCTGGAGCCAAATAGCAGGGTCAGGGTGTGTGGACAGGAGGTCAGACTGCAGCAAGGAAGTGGCCAGACCCTCCCAGGTCTTAGAAGGTTCCTGAGAGTCTGTCAGGAAAGTGATATAGTTGGTCACTCTGGAATCGGTGTGTAAACTTAACTGAGAGGTGTCGAGTGGCATCAAGAAGACCCTGTCACTGTCTCTCCAGCAAAGCCCACATGACAAGGACCCCCAGGGAGTGATGTAGGCCAAAAAGAACCACTCCACAGTCAGGTAGGGAGAGGCCTCCTCTCCTTCCCCACTGTCCAGGGCATTCCTGGACATGCAGGACAGACAGATGGAAGGTGACAGGCAGGTGGGTCTTTCTTCCCCATGGCCTCCAGGCCTCCCCTTCCCTGTCACTCATCCCCCGCTGCAGGCTGCTGCATCTGACAACCCCCAGGATGTGACCTACACCCAGCTGCACAGCTTGGCCCTCAGCAGGAGATACCTGAACCTCCTCTGTCCCAAGAAGGATACACTGTTCAGGCCGTCCACTAGCCCAGGAGGGACTCAGACCCCACAGCTACACGGAGCGGGACTCAGGGGCCAGGAAGGCCCAGGGGCTGCCCCAGTGGACACTAACTAGTGAACCCCAGCCTGGACCCCTAACAAGACCACCAGGATGGAGTTGAAAGACATCCTTCTTAGTAAAGTACTCAAAAATGAAAAAAAAAGTATCCTATGTATTCAATATTATTATGAAGCCAATATAAAAACACTCTCTTACAAATGATAAGATACAAATATGTTCTAACAAGGGTGAGGGGGGAAAGAGGGAGGGGAAGAGGGAAGGTGTTTGGTGGGAGGAGGGATGGCATTTGACAGAATCTCAACTAAGGTGCACAATGCAAGGGCATATTTCTAAACAACTAAGAGTAAACTGCAAATGTCTTATGGCAAAAAATAAGTAAGTGTGGTGATGGTTATAATAATCAGTTTCGTTTAAACATTCCATATTGTATATCAAATCATCACATTGTACTCCATACATGTATACAGTTATGATTTAATAAAAAATTTTTTTTTAAAGTAAAAGTAAAAAATTAACATTCCTCAGAATAAAAAAATTACCACCAGGTGGTGCAGGGATCTTTTGGAATTCACCTGATTCTCCATCAGAGATTAATAATACCCATGTCTGCATTTTGGAAATAAAAACTTCTCAATAATGAGTTAAATGAGAAAATCACAATACAAGTGATAGAACTATGAAACTGAAAAACTGAGAATCATGAATGAATAGATTAGAAAAAAAAATCTAAAAATTAATAGCCTTGGTTATTATTTCAAGAAATTAGAAACGAAGTTACAAATTATTCAGAAGAAAGTGTTAGGAAGGGACTAACAAGGAGCATGAGGAGCTACTACTGAGTACCGGGAAATAGGCAGGTGGCTCGTGTTAGTAATCCCAGCTACCCAGGAGGCTGACCCAGGAGGACCACTTGAGTATAGGAGTTGAGACCAGCCTGGGTTATATACATGCCCCCAATATAATTACAAAACAATTTTAATGGAAAATTCAATAAAGCCAAATAAATGTATTTTTTGAGACAGTCTCACTAGGTTGCCCTGGGTACAGTGCCATGGCATCCACATAGCTTAAAGAAATCGCAAACCTCTGGGCTCAAGCAATCCTCCTGCCTCAGCCTCCTGAGTAGCTGGGACTACAGGCACCCCCTACAATGCCTGGCTAGGTTTTCTATTTTTAATAGAGACAGGGTCTCCCTGTTGCTCAGGGTGGTCTCCTAAGCTCAAGGGATCCTCCCACCTTGGCCACCTGGAGTGCTAGGATTATAGGCATGAACTACCGCACCTACCTGCTTTTGATGTATTTTTGTTATGTATGGAAAGCAAGGGTAGCTTAATTTTTCATAACTCAATATATTGAGAATAAATTTTAAGAACATTTCAATAGACACAAACAAAGCTTTTGGTTTGTGTATTTGTTCATATACCTGTTGACCATTTGTATGCCTTCTTTGGAGAAATGTCTATTTAGTTCCTTTGTCCATTTTTTCACAGAGGTTATTTGTTCTCTTGCTGTTGACTTCTTTGAGTTCCTTATATAGTTAGGACATGATCCCCTTCTTAGATATATGGTTTGCAAGTGTTTTCTCTTGTCCCTAGATTGTCTTTTCATTCTATCGTTTCCCTTTGTGTTCAGAAACCTTTTAGTCTTATACCATTCCACTTGTTCATTTTTGCTTTAGTCACTTGTATTTTCAGGGTCATATCTAAACCATCTTTGCTCAGGCCAATGCTGTAGGGCTTCTTTCCTATCTATTTTGAGTTGAGTTTTGGACATGAGATAAATTCAGAATCAGATTTCTTGCTTCTGCATGTGGATATGCAATTATCTAGTGCCATTTATTCAAGGGACTGCCCTTTACCCATTGCCTGGAAATGCTAAAATCAATTGACCTGAAATATTTGGATTTATTTCTTTGCTTTCTTTTCTGCTCTACGGACTGTTGTCTATTTCCATACCAATTCCATGCTGTCTTGATTGCTGTTCCTTTGCAGATTTTGAAAACAGGTTGGTTGATGCCTCCAGCTTTGTTCTTTGGCTCAAGATTACTTTAGCTATTGAGATTCTTTTGTAGTTCCATTCAAATCTTAAGACTTGTTTTGTACTTCAGTGAAAAATACCTTTGGAATTTTGACAAGGATTTCATTGAGTACATAAATTCCATTCTATTTATTTAGAAATAGAGTCTTGGCTCAGCGCCTGTGGCTCCAGAGGCTAAGGCGCCAGCCACATACACCTAAGTTGGCGGGTTCAAATCCAGCCCAGGCCCACCAAAACAACAATAACGGCTGCAACCCCAAAATAGCCGGGCACTGTGGTGGGCGCCTGTGCTCCTGGCTACTTGAAAGGAGAAAGCAGGAGACTCGCTTGAGCCCAGGAGTTGGAGGTTTCTGTGAGCTGTGATGCCACAGCACTCTACCCAGGGGGATAGCTTGAGGCTCTGTCTCAAAAAATATATATATAGAAATAGAGTCTCACCCTGTTACACTGGGTAGAGTGCCATGGCATCGTCATAGCTCACAGCAACCTCAACTCTTGGGCTTGAGTAATCCTCCTGCCTCAGCCTCCCAAGTAGCTGGGAGTTTGGGGACTCGCTCTTGCTCAGGCTGGTCTGGAACTTCTGAGCTCAAGCAATCCACCAACCTTGGCCTCCCAGAGTGCTGGGATTACAGGTGTGAGTCACTGCACCCAGCAAGTTAGACTTACCTAGATTCCCAGTAGTGAGATTGTGTGGTAGTGGTCTTTCTGTGCCTGGCTTCCTCCATTTCTGAAGGCAGCTGAGTGAGTGAAGTAGAAACAGCCACTGATTACCTGCCTGGACTTTCCTGTGTATACTCAGGGACAGCAGACAGCCGAGACAGGAGTGGCCAGGAGCAGTGACAATCATCTTTGTTAGAGAGAAAATGAAGTAAGAATTTTCTGGAAGGCCAAGGGGAAAAATATGGTCATTTACAAATAATTTCCACCATAGTTTGTCACCTGCTTCATTCAAGTCTTAAAGAAACCTCTAGAAAACTGGCCTGAAAGCAAAAACATGCTTTTGGTTTTTTTCATAATTTTCTGTTTTAAGATCATACTTCATAAATATATTTGTCAATTAAAAATTAAGTAAATAAAATTAAAAAAATTTTTGGTCAGGAAGGGTGGCTCACACCTATAATCCAAGCACTCTGGGAAGCCAAGGTGGAAGAATCCTTTTGGAGCTCAGGGTTGGCGACCAGCCTGAGCAAGAGCAAGAACCATCTCTACTAAAAACAGAAAAACTAGCCAGGCTTTGTGGTGGGCTCCTGTAGTCCCAGCTACTTGAGAGAATGATTGTCTTAGTCCAAGAGTTTGAGTTTGCTGTGAGCTACGACTCCATGGCACCATATGGAGGGTGACAAAGTGACACTTTGTCTCAAAAAAATTAATTAATAAAAATGAAAATTTTAAAAATTAATAGTGGTGGATCCAAGATTTGGATCCATGAAACCATAAAAATCATAGGAAA